TACTTAGGTAGCTTTTTGCCTGGATAAGCTTATAGATTCCTGTTTTCCAGTTTTCATGCAATTTCGAATATAAATAGCTTTGAGCAACCACCATATCAAGGGGCGAATTCGTCACTAAGCAAGATATTTTTGCGCCAATCAGAAACAACGGATACTGTCAAAATATAATTATAATATATAATATACCTCAACTAATATATATTTTGAAACCCGTTTTTTAGTTTTCGCAAGGCTCGAGAGCGGCTGAACCGATTTTTTTGAAACTGCCACCTGCCGCACGTGTCCCAAGGATGGTTTTAGGCTAAACAAAAAAATCAATATGTAAAGGGGGCGTGGCACCTCCCATACCAACCGAATTTCTCATGCTACATATCTCCGAAAGTGTGCATGGTAGAGTTCTGGAACTTGGTATGGAGATATACGAAGTAAATCGCATACACTTGGAGCAAAATTTAAGCTATTGTAAAAAGGGGTGTGGCATCTCCCATACAAACCAAATCTTTCATACTGCGTATCTCTGGAAATGTTCATGGTAGAGTTCTGAAACTTGGTATGGAGATATACGAAATCAATCACATACTCTTGGAGAAAAATTGGAACTATTGGAAAAGGGGGCGTGGCATCTTCTATACAAACCGAATTTTTCATACTGCATATCCTTGGAAGTGTTCATGGTAGAGTTCTGGAACTTGGTATGGAGATATACGAAATCAATCGCATACTCATGAAGAAAACGGCAGCTGTTGGAAAGGGGGGCGTGGCATCTCCCATATAAATCGAATTTTTATGCTGCATAGCTCTGAAAGTATTCATGTTACAGTACTGGAACTTCGTATGGAGATATGTATGTAGTTGAAATCAAGCCCATACTCATGGAGAAAATTTGGGCTATTTGAAAAGGGGGTGTGAGGCCTACAAACGTACCGACCTTTAGCTATCTTTGAATGTATTTATAATTCTTCTGTAGGTGTGTTTGTGAGTGAAATCCTCCTAAATGGTTGTACGGTTTTTAACGAAACTTTTTGTGTGTGTTTGAGTGTGTCTCTGGATGGTTTAGTTTCACAATTTAATCCGACAGTTGGCGCTGTAGTTGAGTTATTACTAAAAATCTTATTTATGATCCGATTTGGCTAATGTTTTAAATATGTATGCAATACAATTGTAAAAACGTGCTGCCAAGTGGTGCTGAAGTCAAGTTATTACTAAAAATAGCCAAGTGAGAAAGGGGCCGTGAAGGTCTGATTAAATCGAGCTATTGCACCATTGAGTATATCGAACGCTCCTGCATTGCGATTGGCCCAATGGATGTGATTTTCCAATATTATTATTCTAACTTTTAAGGTATTTCGTCTGAAATAAGTAGATGTATATTGCATTTCTGTAGAACAATGATCTGCACCCATTTTGAAATTGCCACCAACTATACTGTAAAGCTTCTAGGACATTCACTATAGAACCGGGTCATTGTTGCCGCCAGGGAGTGAAGAGGAAAAAATTTATTTCGCTTTGCGAATAACCGTGCTATGAAATGCCGCACAACTGGAGAATTTCAAGAACAGCTTCACGGATATAACACTTTCCTTAGGTTATTTAAAGCAGCAAATGACCACCATACCATAATCTTAGCAGACGAGTGTGCCAATGAAAATCGTAAACGTGAATTGTTGGTGAAAATGTTGGACCAAAAAGTTTCAATAAAATATATAATAATTTTGTGCGGGACGAAGTTTGCCGGGTCTGCTAGTCCACAATAATATTTGCAGATTTGCCTTCTTGACGATTTAAGATTCGCTTTTTTCCCCCGGGCCAGCAGATACCTCCGTTACAGATCTTAAATGATACAAGAAAAATAATGCTGTATCAGTTAATGAACACAAGTTTAATAAATCAAACGAACATCTTTTTTTTTCTGACAATTGATGTTTGTTGATAGTTTTAAAATCGGTTTTTCCACTTTTTGTACAATAGAAATCTCCGTTGCAGACCTTGAATTATTAAATAAATATTTTTAACACATTATTAGTTTAAATAATGCATGATTTAAACCTTAAAAAGCAACAAATATCTTTTATATACTTACAAACTCCTTTGATCCTTGATGTTTTGTTTACCAACTTTTTTCATAGTGGCCAATAAATGCTCTATTTCTTTACTTTTTCCTTTTTTCGTTATAAGAGTTTCCTCGTCTGATGTGGTAAAATAGGTTTTTGGAGTTTTTATTTTCCTCCCGGACGTACTGGTTCTTAGAGCATCTTTGGAATACAGCTTCTTGAAATCATTAGTTCTTTTTTCTGGAAATTCCATTATCTGAAGGCATAAATAAATAAATTTGATAAAAAACCATATATTAAAAGGGAAAATCACTAGAATACACTAGAATGCAATCAAGCTGAAAATGTTTCAGGCATATGAAAAAGCTTCATATACAGTGATAATAGAGTGTAAAAAAGCAAACATCCAAGCAGAGATGTTCAGGAATGCCAAAATCGAGTTTCATTGTTTTAAGCTAATTTTGAGGAACCTCATAGCGTGTAAGCAAAGTACAACTGATCCACTGGTTATCAACTGGGCTTTCTTCTCCTACAACATTACTCCAATAGGGCATCCTATAGCATTTGTCTTCGAAATTGTTGATAGAAATAGCTTCTACTGTATCTGACAACATTTTACAGTGATGTACACCAACAGTATTAGACCGTATTCCAAAATCATACAATGCTTCTTTCCTTTGAAATGCTTGGAAAATCAGTAATATTTGTTCCTCTACTTTTATAATGTGTTTTATTATCCCGATTCTTCGATCCCTAAGAAAACAGCAGCTATCACATAAATTTGTTGACAATATTAGCTTTCCGATCTCCAACTTCCGATATTGTCGACATTGAGCATCAAATATATTTTCTGGAAGAGGACCATCTGCATGAGGCAAGGATAGACGTATCTGAATGTTATCATTGAAAGGCGTACAAATTAGGTCATTTAATTCTGTTGTTCTTTTGTAAATCTGTTGGAGAGGAAGACCTGGCTTGCGAATTAATTTACGTGGTTCAGCATATTATTTTCATAACAAAATGCACTGAATGACTCCATGTCACCAAGAAATTGAAACCCAAAAATTTCTTCGCACATTTGTACGTATTTTTTTTAAAGCATATTTACAAAAATTCAGCATTTCAGAAGGCGTTTCTTTATACACCAAAAGGCGCATGGCCATGTGTAATAACAAGAAATGTTCATAAGTATCGTCTTCAAAAACATTTTTAAATACAGCCACAGCTGTGTACAGAGCTAATTGCCTTAAATCTATGAAAAGCTGAGAAATTATTTGGCCTTCGGTTGAAGTCAGAGGGACAGTAATTTTGTAGTTGTTGCATTCTGGAATCAAGGATATGTAACTTTCTGCCTGTTAACCTTCGACGAGCATATTTTCCGTCAACGTTTACCACTATAGCTTTCATAACATTTCCAAATGGTACTTTAGTTACCAAACCAAGCAACTCTGCCAAAGGGCTTCTTCCAAGATGATGGTCTATTAGATTACGATAATCAGAATCTGTCCGTAGCTGGTGCTCCGTCCCTTGAAAAATCATATAATAAGTGCCTTCGACTTTACACTTGGAGCATGCTTTTGATGAATTGTGGCCAGAGTGATTTAAAGCGAACGCTCTTGCAGGCGCATCTGCTATAA